ACATCCCCCCAATTTTCTAACCCCCAAATTAAGAAAACTTAGAGGATTCAGCCTTTGAGCTTCTGAGTCTCTGTTGAATCTTGAGCCTACAGGCTCCACCTCCAAGAAGGTGTGTTCCAATTGGTTTGTTCAGGGTCAGCTGACGTCAGTAAGGCTTCTGATTGGAAGAAGCTAAGTATCATGACTGTAGGAAACTCAGCCTCGTGGCTGAAGGAAGTCTGTTTACAGAGACAAAGTGTGTGCCGTTTTGTTCTCTTCTCAGCTATCTCAGCTTACTTCCGTGTAAAAGACACCCCTCAATTTTTAGGGTAATGATTTTAGAAAAAGGCAGTGTCTTATAGATGGAAAAATACGGTATTTATTTGAAGGTTTAACTAAAACCAATGAAAAATCTGGTAAGATGTTTGAACACAGCATTGAAGCTAGTCTTTGTTTGGAAAATTAGCACTGGCTAGACTTTCAGTCTATTCCCACAGCTAAATTTGCACCATTCCTTAAGTACTTTCATATTAAAAGCCAATTTATTTAATGTGTTTATTTATTAAATTAGTTCTGCCCCCCCTCCCCGTCGGCTGCCTTTTACATTGAAACAAAATGGTTTTGAAAAAAATGAAATCTTTTGAATCAAATTATCCATTCAGTCATATCCAACCCTTGGCAATTTCATAATCCAGCTTTCTCCATGATTTCCAATCTTGTACAGCTTCTTTCAGCTGCTTTATATTTTGGGCAGTGTCTGCTTTGATTACATCCAACCAACACATTCTTTAGTGTCCTTGCCATCTTTTACCGCTGAGCATTCTGAGCATAATATCTTTCTCCAATGATGTTGATCGCATGACATGGCCAAAATAACTAAGACTAAGTTTTGTTATTTTGCTTTCCAGTGACATGTCCAGTTTGATTTGCTTCAGCATTTCTTTCTTTGTTACCTTTGCAGTCCATGGAACATGCAAGAACCTTCTCCAACATCATAGTTCAAAAGAATCAATGTTCTTTCTCTCCATCTTCTTCATTGTCCAACTTTCACATGCATATGTAGTTATGGGGAACACGGTGCAAACTAATTTGCACTTGGTCGTCAAGCTGACGTCCTTACTTTTCCATTTTTGATTCATATTCATAATTGCTGTGTGACCTAGCATGATTAAACGTTTTATTTCTTGACTGCAATCACCGTTTTGATTGACCAATGATCCTAAATATATATATTCCATTTGTATCCCACTCCCATTAGTGTCACAGCACTACTCTGGGCGGGTTACAGCTCATAAAAAGAAAACACAAATGAAAATAGACATTTTAAAACTGATAACAATAACCCTAAAAGAGAAAAGAAAACCAGATGGAATCAACTAATCTAAAAGCAGATAGAGGAAAAGAGAGGAGGGAAGAGGAAGAGGAGAACTTCATCATACAAGATGAATAAGAAAGGTGACAGGATGCAACTTTGCTGCACACCTTTCTATAGCTTAAACCAGTCAGTGTCTCCATATTGAGTTTGTACAATAGGTTCCTGATTTTCATATAGTGATTTCACCAACTTTACCAAATGTAGTGGCATCCCAAGGTCTTCTAGAGCTCTCCATAGTTTGTCATGGTCAATAGAGTCAAATGCTTTCCTATAATTGATGGATCACAAGTAGGTGCTCTTTTGATGCTCATAACATTTTTCCAGCCTGGACATCTGGCAATTCCCTTTCAATGATTGGTGCCAGGTGCTGTATAATTTTCAGTAAGATCTTACTAGCATGAGAGATTAGAGCAATCATGCAGTAATTAGAACAATGCTTTGAGTCCACCTTTTTGGCTATCAGAATAAATACTGATGGTTTCCAGTTTGGTGACCATGTTTTGGTTTCCCAAATTTTCTGGCACAAGGCTCTAATAATTGTCATTGTTACTGGCCTAAGGAATTCTACAGGGATGTCATCAACCCCTGGAGCATTATTGTTTGGCAGTTGGTTCATTGCCCGCATGACCTCTTCATCAAGTATAGCTGGTTCTGCTTCTATTTCCTTCCCCTCCTCAGTTTTATGTTGCCCCTCTTTGCTGATGGCATTCAGTTCTGCCGCATATTACCATCTGTTCTTGACACCTTGTTTAGTATGGAGTAATTACCTCTGTCTATCCATTGAAAAATAGTTTTCTGGGGAACCATTTATAGCAGTTTTTCCCAAAATGATCAGTTCCAAGTACCTGTTTCTGAACAGGGGCTAAAGATGGCTATACCAGTTAAGAGATTTGGGAGAACTAGCCACTAAGGTGGGATAAAACTGGGCAAACATGCAAATCTCCCGACTCATTTACTGTCAATCATCATCTGTTGCCAATTCTAAACTCTGAATGTTATCCCCAGTTGAATAGGCTACTGAAAATGAATATTGGGGAATAGAGAGGCTGCTTTAGTTGCAGCACAGACATGTTTTAAGATTGGCTGGATTCCTTAAAAAAATTCAGCTAGGCTAAGCTAACCCCGGTGCTGAGCACTGCAGACAAGATGATTCTCGGGAGTTTTTCACAGGCTGTTATCACCTTTAAGGTTCATTGTCCTGTAGATGGGTGAGCTGAATGATTATAGTGAAAGGAAAGAAGCAGCAGAGCGAGTTGTTTTCAACCATACCTGGGAGGTTGTGAAATCAAGATTGCTTTGATTTTAGCTGCACTATCTTTGCACAGAAACTCTATCATGTCCTCATATACAAAGGCCTAAGAGGTGGGGCACAGGCAACTGTGAGACATGCTTCATGCTGTATTTTGTATTCAAAACTGATATAGCTCCAGTTGGTTGGCATGCCAGGCTAGAAGCTGAAATTGCCAAGGTGCCTCCCAGGAGAGATAGTTGCTTGGGTTGCATGCCCTGTCACCTGCAAAGCCTTGGGCAAACTGAAGGGTTCCAAAGTGCCACCAAAAGGAGGAATAAGTAAATCACAACAGAAAACTGTGGGAGGGTCAATTACATGCTATAATTGACTTGATGCAATATGATTTATTTACTGGCTCTACTGCATTTTCCTCTTGTTTCCTGTTTCTAAGATTTAGGGCCATGCAGTTTTCCGACTATGTATTACTATACAAATGAAAGTAGAAGGCAAGAAATACAGCTGTGCCGCTTAGTTACATGGCCATCATTCTCCATCTAGCTTGTCTCTCCACAGCAAACATGTAGCTGGAGGAGGCCTGGTTACTGTGGGAAAAGTGCAGGTCAAGGCTTTCTCTTGCATGCTAGGTCTCCCCTGCTAATTCTCCCCCAAAAGGCTGCTTTGCAGCAGAGATGGAGGAGGCAATTTGGCCCTTCAACATAAAGAGCACTAGCCCCAGCCCCAGAAAAAAGCTTCTTATCCAACTGGCACTGCAACAGACACAAGAAAGCCACCTGGAATTTAATGTCACACAACAGCAGCCCATTGGTAATATAGTACTAACCCTTTCAAAATCTAGGGGGGGGGGAATCAAAGGTCTAATATGTACGGTACAAATGCAATACTGCTGTGGAATCGGTATTCTGCATTGTTTTAATATTTGTACCTAGACCACCCTTCTTAGCTTCCAAATTGTTACTACAGCTGCTGCTGCTGGTACATTACAATTATTATTACAACCAAAAGCAGTGAGAACAATATGTAAATCTAACAAAAAAGAGAAACAGCCTGAAACAGATCACATAGACCCACTACCAATAGAAAGTTTTGTGTGATGCATCCTCAGATGGCATCAAAAAAGCATCAAATGACAATATTGACAGCTACAGAAAAGGCATCACCTTATTTATTTATTTAAAATATTTTACCCCACCTTTCTCCTTGAAAAGGACCCAAGACGGCTTACAACACTGACAGACAATATTTGAAGTTGAAAACAATGAGTATTCAACAGTGGTTAACATCATTAAAGATAATATTTAAAGCAAAGAACAATGAGTAAAGAGGTATCTTACATCATTAAAAGACATCATTAAAGCTAAGAACAGTAAGTATACAATTCTTTTTTACAAGAATGCCACTCTGAGAAATGAAAAATACAAAAATGGAAAACGCTCGTACTAAAAATCCAGTCAAAGCAGTAATGCACAACAATCAATCTAAAAATCAGTTACAGAGAGAAGGCTTGCCTAAAGAGAAAGGCCTTTGCCTGCTTGCCGAAGGACGGTAAAGATGGGGCTAGCCTGGCCTCCTGTGGGAAGGAGTTCCAAAGTCTGGGAGCAACACAAAGGTTCTCTCCTGTGTCCCCATCAGACGCACCTGTGAAGCGGGACTGAGAGCTCGTTCATAATGGGAGTTACAGTCATTGAGATAGCTTGGACCCAGGCCATTTAGGGATTTATAAGTTAAAACCAGCACTTTGAATTGTGTCCAGAAACTAATCGGCAGCCAGTGGCACTGCTATAACATGGTGGTTACGCGATCCCTGAAATCAACCCCAGTCAGCAGTCTGGCTGCTGCATTTTGGACCCTCTGGAGTTTCCTGACAGTTTCCATCAGCAGCCCCACATAAGTGTGTGTTACAGTAATCTAGCTGGGAAGTTCCTAGGGGGCATGTGTCTCATAGTGGCCAGATCAGATCTCTCAAGAAATGGATGTAGCTGACGCATTAGTTTTAATTGTGCAAATGCACTCCTGATCATTGCCTTGAGAATGGCCTGGTTCCTAAATGCAAAGGTTGTGTAAATATGCTCTTGGGGTTGTTCCACAGCTTACACAAGGAGAGCTGGGGTCTGCTACCCTGCCCGGCCTCTCTGATGAGTGTGTCTATGCAGCTACCTGTTTCATGACTGAACTCATGCTGGGCAATACAGACAATCCACTCACACTGTGATGAAAGAACAGTTCTCAAAGACATTGTGGCCATTCGCATGTTCTATCTTAATGAGTCAGAGAACAGATAGAAACGAAATCATGCTAGAAATGAATGCAAAAATATTCTTGCAAAATAGCTGCCAGCAGTAGATTAGTGCCTATGACTATACTCCAGGATAGCTTTAAAAAAAGACGACACATGAATAATCTATGCAAATGGTTCCAAAAGTTTATTTGAATATTTAATTTACAAAAAAAGAAAAGAAGTGTTCTATGCAAAACTGGAAAGGGTAACCACATATAAAATCCAGCCCAACCTAACATAAAACTGTTATGCAATTGTGAGACGGAAAGGAACCAGCAGGAAAGGTGATGTAAGATTAAATAATATTCTTCTTTAAAATTGTCCTGGCTGGCCAATTCCATCTTCTCTTGATCTCCCTCTGCCCACAATGTATTTTCCCCTGGAGGCACTGCACATAGCCATTCATTTTTTATTTTATTTTTACATTCTGCTCTGAGTTTTTCTGAGTCTTTATTTTCTTGCTGCTTCATCGATTCCTCCCTGAACTTCTCTGATCAAATCAAAATGAACAGGAAACACATGGACCGCATGTATATACTGTCTTTAGTAGGTATGTCTATGTGGTTAAGTTATTAAATAACTAATCTTCTTAGAAAACGTACTCTATTGATGCAGTGGCTAAAACATCTGCTCAACTTTTGGCAAAAGGCAGACACCTTTACTGTTTACTCAAAGTGCTACTGGCAGTTTTTGCTGAACGTATACAACATGGAAGTCTTCTGCAAATTGCTTAGAAGCAGATCCTAGCTCCAATGTTAGCTGCACTGCCTAACATTCCTTAACTGAAATAGGATTGCATAACAGATTTACTACCCAACAGGCCTTCACCCCCAACCCGCCTCATCCCAAATGACGCAACACAGTCCATGCAGAATCTATGAAGTATGTACACTTTCCACAACCCATTTTGTGTCTTCAAGGCAACCAGCTCTGTTAGCTCCAAGGAGAAATGCAGGCCTGAACGGCAGCACAGAGAGGCAGAGGGCCCCTTTTCAAAATGACAGCAATGGGAGCTGCTAAACAGGTTTCTGAAACCAAAGAACCTCACAGTGTTATGGGAGTGGGATCGAAAAAAGTGACACAAGCAAAAAGTATCTTACCATCTGGCGGCCTCTTCAAAAGAGATAAAGCAGGCAGCAAATGCTGATGACGCAACTCTTATGAGATGGTCTGGAAAAGCCCCATGAGCAGCATATGAGAGAGTGATTCCCTGCTCTCTCTCTCTCTCTACAATGGATTGCTCCTATTATCAATGAAAAAACAACAACCTTTTCCTGTTGAGCAACTCCCATCAACTGCAATGCTCACAGTCACTTTTTTTCTTTCTTGATCCATTCCCACCATGTGGAAATAACAGGGAGGTGCACCTGCACAGCTAAAATCTGGGAAACTGACAATGATCCTTAGAAGAGTAGCTAGAGGTGACTACTTGGGAATCCAGCACGCAAACAAACAAAACATGCATTACGGTCAGAAACAGCTAAAATTTCTTGAATTTTTTATGACCTTCACCACTAATTTGGCAAAAGAATGAAAGCCCCAAATTCAGGAAGAACTTATGGAAACAGGCTATAACGGGAAACATAAGAGTTACAATATATTAGCGATTTCTGAGCGATTTCATAAACATTTGTAAAAGCATCAGCAAAGTATTTTAAATATAAAAGCAGTATGTATAGATCCCTCCATTATTTCCCTCCCCCTGCAAAAAGAACATGATTTGTAGTGTAATAAATCAGATGAATGATCATGGTATTAAGGCATAAAAGGTCAGCATTATTTTCTATTGCCTGAGCTCAACATAATTAGCTGGGAACAGCCCATATCGGCCTTTGCACACTCCTCTCCACCAGCCATCATCTATCATTTCTATGTTAGTGATGATGTCATCAGGATCAAAGGAAATCTCGTCATCACCAGCTGTGGAAAGAGTGGATACAGAATTACTAAATGCAGTCAGGTAATGATCACAGTAGCTACTGTGTTGCTGGTGCAGCATTTGAACGTACCAATCCTGGGGAAAGATGAGTGACAATGGATGCTGTTTGGCGATGCAGCTTCCTGTGTTAAAGCAGAGTCCCCCAACCCCAGTAAGGATAGCTATGGGAAGAGCTTCTGGCATCAAAAAGCTTTGATTACAGCCAAACTGAGCACACAAGAATGTGCATGTGCAAAGACTGATCTGCACCCAGTGTGCCCCCCCCCCGGTGAACATCTTAGTTCTAGGAAATTTGCACATTTCTTTTGCCAGGATGCAATGTGATTCAGTAGCAACCAAAGATGACTAATGATTACTACTAGACATGGGGATGAATATAAAAACGAATCGCAATATTCAACAAATATTGCTGAGTCATCAGATATTTCTTGCTTCGTATTCTTGAGGTCCAGAGACCCCACCAAAGCAAGGGATATAACCCTTTTATATTTGTCTTTTTGTCTATCCCTATCTGCTTATGCCCCTGCGAATTAGTTGTTCTTTGGGGGGGGAGACATAAGCAGAAAGGGGTTTTCCCTTCAGGCAGCTTGCTAAAGCCTGCCTGAAGGGAAACCCACCCCCCTGTTTACAAAGACTTTGTAAATATCTGGGCATCTGTGGCATAGACAGGGGAAGCATGACCAAAGGAATTTTACCTGCTCTCTTTGCAAAGACAGCAGGGGTGGGGAATCACTTCTCTCAGGCTTCCGTTCTCTTTCTATGCCCGGGTGGCATAGGAAGAAGAGGGAAGCCTGACGGAAGTGATCCCCCATCCCCGCTGTCTTTGCAAAGACAGTGTGGGTGGGGGAATCGCTTGGGTCCCACATCTCTTCTCTTTCTATGCCTGCTGGGGCACAGAAAGATGGGGGAAGCCTGACTGAAGCAATCCCCCACTCCTGCTGTCTGCGCAATGATAGTGGGGGGGGGGAGTTGCTTTGGTCAAGTTTGCCCAAAGGGAGGCCCTTCCCGCTGCTCCTTGCAAAATCTAGGCTGCTAGAACTGAAACCGTGGTTCTAGCAGTTTAGCTTCTGTTTCTGCGGAAGCTGCCAGAGAGCAGGAGGAGGCAGCTGGGAAGGCAAGTGGCAGTGGGAAGGGGGGTGGGGGCAGGCTGTGGGGGACGAGGCCTTATATATACGAAGTACCATTTTTACACTTCGTCCCCATCTCTAATTACTAACTGGGATAATTATACATTACCTAGTATATGAAACAGTATGCCTATGAATTATTGATTACTGAAAGTCCTGAACAAAGGGACAGTAATAACAATAACAGCAGTAGCAATAACAATAACAATGAAGTCAGTAATAAATGATGAAGTCAAGAACTTGTGGGATTTCCGGACACAAACTGATAGACACTTAGAACATAACACACCAGGCACAGTAGTAAAAGAAAGAAGAAATGTCTGCATAATAAACATTGCAATTCCAGAGGATTCCAGAGCTGAAAATAAAGATTTGGAAAAACTAACAAAATACACAAACCAAACAAAATAAACAAACAATATTGAAATATCCCACTTATGGATTAAACTCATTTCAGCAGACCCCATTATCATTGGAACTTTGGGAATAGTATCAGGAAATTTCACACAGTACTATAAGCAGCCTCCACCTCTTTAGTATTTGGTATTTCACTGGGGACTGTCCAGACATATATGCACAGCATTAAGCACTGGAGTCTTTGAAGAAAGAAGTGGAGCAGAAAGAAAACTGAAACCTGATACAGTAGGACCCCTGTATCTAAAGGGGATTGGTTTCAAAGCCCCTTGTGGATGCTAAAAAACACAGATTATAGCAAACGCTATACATAGCATGGTCTCTGGCTCCCTCTCGTGGCCAGTTCTAGTAACTTCATATTTAGAAATATACTGTACATTTCTAGGATTTTTCTTTTACTATTTTCACAATCTGGATAAGTGAATCAGCAGATAAGTGGGTCCTACTATATTCTCATATATTTCATTCAATATCCAGTGCTTATTTTTGTGTTTGAGACCCTTTCTTCAGAGAAGAAACCTAAAACCACACAACCTTCAAAACCTTCTGCTTTCCAAACCATTACACAGGATATGGGCTGTGCAGATGTGTTGTATCCACTGAAGATAGCAATTCACAACATGTAAGATGTGCTAAAACCGCAGGACTACAGAAATGCAGTGCTTACCAGCCTGATAATCATAGAGGGCTATAGCTGTTATTCCAAGGTCATTTTCATAATCATAAGTGTTTTCACCTAATGAGAAAGAGAAAGAGATTACAGTGGGGTCTTGACTTGAGAACTTAATCCGTATTGGAAGGCGGTTCTCAAGTCAAAAAGTCTGTAAGTCAAGTCTCCATTGACCTACAGTGCATTGAAAACCGATTAATCCCATAACAGGCCGTTTTTGGTCCATTTTGTTTTTTTTCTGGTCTGTAAGTCAATTCTCAGGCTGCAAGTCAAACCTAAATTTTGTGGCCAGAGAAGTCTGTAACTCAAAAAGTCTGTAAGTCAAGCCGTCTGTAAGTCAAGGGTCCGCTGTACCACTGTATATGCAACCACCTACCTCAGGAGTAATTGGAGTTGCAATCCAACATGTTGTAGCGGGGGAGCATTTTCCCCCAACTTGATCTACTCCCTTCCGCTCCTCACTTGCTCAGTGCATTCAAACTACCTGAGAGAAGCCGAACCCAGGCAGCTTAAAGCACTGGTTCTTAACCTTGGGTTACTCAGGAGTTTTGGACTGCAACTCCCAGAAGCCTTCACCACCAGCTGTCCTGACTGGGGTTTCTGGGAGTTGCAGTTCAAAAGCATCCGAGTAACAAAAGTTAAAAACCACTGGCTTAAAGCAACTACTCAAAAAGTCCACAATAGAAACAGAAGCTTCCAAACCTGCTTGATATTGGTCTCCTGCACCGGCAACTTCATAAACCGTTTCAGCTTCAAACTCTGGCTCCCTGTGACTAACTGCTTCTTGATAGTCCGATTCTTCCACTTTGTTGTTGATTTCTGGCTCTTGTAGAGACGAATAATTCGTGTTTGAACTTTTGTAGCCAGACTCAAAGGACGCCGCATCCTAAGGGAGCAAAAAGCAAGCAGCCATGACACAAAAGAGAAAACGAGCTTCAGATTCATTGCCATGGGCAAACTGAACACTTATTACAGTTGCCAAATACAATACTGTTAACACCACATGGAAAGGAAAGGTGACTGAAACATTCAGATCCTAATGTTTGCCTGCAGCTGTCCTCCAGACAAAGCGAGTGTGTGATGAGAGAGCCAAACACATCAGCCTTGCGGACAAGTAATTTGGCTTGTGCACAAACATAAGCTGAAGCTGTGCACTGCCCTGATCCCATCACAGCCACGGTGGCAATGCAACTGCACCATATGCTATTCACCTTGGAGATGACAGTCCGTTCTTCCCTGCTCCATGACTGTTTTGTTGTCCCCTGCTTGACATCTTCTCTGCAAAATGCTCTGACTTCAATCTATCACATTTTATTATGTTGTCATTCTGATCTATTTGGCAAATGAACATGTAACAGGAAGCTGAGGAGAAAACATCCTATTTGCTCTCATCTAGCCCAGTATGGTCTACACAGCCCTCCAGTGTCAGCAGAGGTGTTTTACCTCACCCTACCGTTCATTACTGGAGATGCAAAGAACCTTTGCATACAAGCTATGTATTCCAACTATTAAGCTATGGTCCGTCCTTACTTTATTTGGTCCTATGACCTGTTTGGCTAAACAAGATAGCCAGTATTCTATTATTAGGACACTCATTGACTCAATGGGATTTATGTAAGTGTTGACTTACCATCCAGCAACTGACTCAATGGGTCTAACTCTCTGCTTGAGACTAGCAACTGTCTTAAATCTGTTACACATTTGCATTATTTAGCAGCTGTAATGACACTTTAAACATTGAGTTAGGAGCCTCGCAAGAGACAATTCCTAGTTTGTTTGCTATATGAAATACTCATGAGGAAAGCTTTCTTTATTTAAATTATCAAGCTAACCTCATAGACTGGGCTTGAAGGCAGCTTTTCTTCGACCAGCTGTGTGGCAGGAGATTGAGGATGAATTTGTTCCTTGGCCTTGGCTTGTTCCTTTGGGGGAAAAACAAGTGTGCATCACCACAGGTACTACAACACAAACAAGAGAAAAATACTAACATAGACACTGCCATTCACATCTCTAGGAAAAGTGCTGGTTAGCAGGATAAGGCACTCATTTTGGTGGTCAGGCCTTCCAAAATTACCTGTACATTCAGAAATATTTCTTCTTCTGAACTCCTGTATTTCTTCACTATTAGCAGTGTAGGCTAGAGCTGCTGATACTCTATGTTAAGTGTATCATTCTTATGATATGAAATTCAAGGAGTGTCTGTTAGTTTCTTGGCATTTTTTTAAAAAAGTTCATTTAAGACCTTAAACCATGTTTGTTGAACAAGATAAAAGATATGCAAATATAATTAAAAAAAACTTGTTAGTAGTGACTACTATTATTTCCCCTGAACGTGATTGCAAATCATAGCATGCGGAAGGGCTGACTATAAATACTGGCCAAAATCCTGGTATGTAAGGTGTGCCTGCAGAAGGGTGATGACATCACCAGCAGGGTGAGATTTTCACTGAAAAGGTCACTCCCCGTTTTTTCCCTCCTGCTGGTTGTTCTACTTCAAAGTAATACAGTTCACCATGTTGGAGCCACAGAACAAAAGGGTGAAATTTTTAATGACAAAAATTGCTCCTCTGATGATATCGTCATCTTGTGATAGCAGTTTTCAGTAATTAGAGATTTCTTCTATCCACGGGTTCCACGCAGTGAGATGGATTACTTGTAAGCTAGACAGGCTACAGGAGAAAGCGGGGAGGAGGAAGTCTTTAAGTACCAAAAACATTCTCCTGGCACGAACATCATGACCCTTCCACAGGTGTAAATTATGAAAGAGGTTTTTGGGCAATGCTTATTGAGAGGGAGGGAGGGAGAGAAAGAAGGTACAGCTAGAGTAATAAGGGTTGAGGAACAAATCTGTGATGCTTCCCTTGTCTAGTTAACCCACTAACAAAGCAAGACATGTAGCAGAGCTTGCAAAGAAATGAACTACCGATTTCCATTGGTAGTTCCCAGGCTGTGGTTTGAAACATTAAATAGTTACTGCCCGTAGTAGCTGTAAGCATTACAATACTGGTGTGTTTTGTTTCAAGAGTGCACCTATTCTGTAGCAGGCAGCTAATTACTTTTCTCAACAATTGTCCTAAAATCAGCAGTCAGGGTGGGTCTCATGAGCCAGTTCCATGCTGGGCAGTTGCTGCCTGACGTTTTACCTAGATTAAACTCCAACAGCTTTTTATGACTAAGACATTCCACATGTGGGATACTTCTAGGATCAATTAAACTGCTACCTGGCTCATCTCCTGCATTTAAACAACATCTTTCAGGAAATCCTCAAATAAGGAGTATCAATTTGGAACAAGGGCACAGCCAAGCTACTTTCCGCTAATGGAAAGCACTTGAAGAGGAACTGGTACTTTCCAAAACAAACAAGCATAACATAAGAATCCAATACATCAACTCCAGTTGCCTCTGCCTGTCTGAGTGTGGACTCCACGTTGCATCTTGCCAACTACATAGCTGAAACCACACCGACAATTTTAAAGAGCTTAGCCCTTGCAAATGCCTTTCCCTTTCTACCATCTACAGTAGTTGTGCGGCTGAAACCAATGAACTGCATTTTCCAGGAAATAACTCACAAGCCAGCATCAACTTCAAGCACTTGCATGCTGTTGCAGCTGAAATATAGCCTATGTTAGGGATTTTAGTATTGTAACACAGCCATGGAGCCAAGATTATATTAGATATTGTATTACTGCAAACACTTCCCTGTGCCTTTGTTCTGTTGTGTTTTGTTTTCTTTCTTCTCCCCCCAATGTATTTGTTTCCCTTCGATTGTTGTTTGTTAGTCTGCTATATAATAAAGATTAAATTTTAAAAAAAATGCTGGGCAGAAGTTCCAGATACCACCAGTGTGAAATAAATAGGGGGCTTAAGCTCTAAAAGTTACCCTTCTGGCCTCTGCAGAGATTGTGGGAGCAGCTCTTACTAGTTGCACAGTAACTTAGGGGTGGGGTGGGGTGGTCCTGATGGGGAGAAGGATCAGTGGTCGCACCACGGAAGTTAAACTGCATCTCCAAATCAAGTTCCCCAGTTTCAGAAAACCAGGAAATTAGGGACAGAAACAAGAACACGCAAGGCAGCAGAACCTCAGGGCCAACAACCAAACAAACTGTGCCCAGCTCTGTTTTAACCGGTATGGTCCAAGGCTCTCAACTATGACAGTTTCTATAAATTTTCACTGTAGTACCTATTTAATTTTTAAGGGAATGGGAATGAATATGTCTATCACTTGGTTTTCTTCATTAAAAGGCAGGACAATGTCTTCAAGGCAAGTCTTCAAACTGCCCTTGATCTATCAGGGAGTTTGGGAGTTCAGCCCCACTAGTAGGCTGGGGAACCGCGAAATCTATCTCTTCTTTTTCATTTGCATTTGAGGAAGCTGTTCTGGGCCTAGACCAGTGTCTGATGTCAATAATGGGATGGATGATGGCAAACCAATGGAAACTTAGTCCAGACAAGGAAAAGATGCACCTGGCCAGTCAAAGGTCAGCTCAGAGAACAGGGACTCAACTTGTACTGGATAGGGTTACACTCCTCTTCAGAAAGTCAGGTCTGCAGCTTGCGTGTTCTTCTGGATTCAACCCTGAGACTGTGGCGGCACAGGTTTCATTGGTGGTCAGGAGTGCATTTGCAGAGTTAACGTCTGTTATTTTTTTGAGATGTCTGATCTAGCTATGTTGGTTATGTCCTGTTTGGATTACTACACTGTGTTTTATATGGGGCTGCCTTCAAAAAGTGTTCAAAATGCTGCAGCAAAAATGCTGAGTGACACTAGTTACATGGAGCATATAACTCCCCTATAACAATAGTTTTGATGGCTACTGGTTTGTTTTCAGGACCAGTTCAAAGTGCTGGTCACAATCTGTAAAGCCCTATAGTACTTGGACCACATAAGTCTGTATGTAGCTTCCCCAGCTTTCAAGATCTTCTGAGGAGGTCCTTCTCTCGGCCCCTCCACCCTTACAGGCTTATTTCATGAGAATGTGAGAGAGGGCCTATTCAGTGGCTGCTCTGAGGCTGCATACTGTACTCCTCTGTGAAACTAGAGAGAGAGAGTTTTTTCATCAGCAAGCAAAAACCTTCCTTTATAAGTAGGTGAGTAACTGATTTGGGTTAGAGATGGGCATGAATTAAATGATCCCCCATCCTTAGCAAGTCATCGTTGCACCCACACAGGTGATGTGTGGGAATGGTGCCCGCCTCCTCTGCATGCTCACCCATTCCTCGGGCGAAGCATGCTTCATGTCCCCCCAACACAACTGGCCAATCACAACTGGCAGCCTGCTCTTCCATCTTCCACCTTGTCCCTCAGTCGGCCTCCTCGCCTGAGTGGTCAGCTGAGGGAGAAGGCGGAAAATGGAAGGGCAGGTTGCAAAAGGAGAATGGCCAGTCACACTGGAGGGGTGGGGAGGAAAGCACGTGTCACCCAAGGGATAGGTGAGCTTCCAAGGGAGGTGGGCACCATGCCTGTGTAACACCTGTGCGGGCACAACAACAACTCACTTGGGATGGGGACGACTTAATTCGTGCCCATCTCTAATTTGGATAACTAAGCACCATTATGGAACATGGTACGTACATTTAGTTGTTTTAACTGATTGTGCATTATTTTGTGTTCCTCAGTGGGGAGAATGTGCCATATCAATAAAAGACAGCAAGGAAAGGAAAGGCAACGGAAAGGAAAGCACAAGGCTTCCACAACTTATTGATGAGGCGCTAGGCCATGTGTCTGGTCATACAACTGCCTGCACAACCCAAATGCTCCCTGGCACCTTGTTAATTAGCCCCAATCAGGGCAGAACACATTACACAAGCCTTACATGAACACTAACAGGAAGCCTGCCTGACCTGCTGGTATAAAGACAGGTAAAGATTAAGAAAGAGAACAAAGAGAGCAACACGGTCAGAAGTTAACCCATCAGCAAGTTTAAGCAACGCATCCAAGGAGCAGAAATCAATGAATACAGCTATCCTTTTAAAAAGTGCACAATGGTGGAAGGAGAACAATCAAAGTGGATTTTAAAAAACAAACAGCATACAGTGATCTCTATTGCACATCAGAAATTGTTCCACAGTCCAGAATGCAGCAAACAAGATGTTAAGGGAAGATAAGGTGGTGAGAGCCTGCTAGTTCTTTTGAGTCAAGAAGGGCACAATGTAAGACTAGCAGTGGTACTTGTTAGTGAAAGAGGTGTTTCACCCCAGTGATCAGTGTATGTGACCGACACCCATCTTCGTAATCTGGGGAGTTGCATAGTGGATGTCAGCTGCAGCACACTTTGAAGCTCAGAGAAGTGAGTGAGCACAAAGGCTGCCTGATAAACTGAATAAGTCAGACTCCAACTAAAACATTAATTGCAGCTAGAGTTACTTGAATAACCTACCACTTTTAGTACATGGATAGCACTGGCGAGGACAGTAATCCACAGAATATCTTTAAGCTGAGAAGTGAATTTTCCAGTTTGGATTTTGCCAAACACACAAATGCAACTACAGACTCTGTTTTATCCTAGACCAGCTCTTATTGCTTCAGACAGAGATTTCAAAATGAAATGACCCAACTATCATAGGATGCTAGGAATGCTGTGGGCAGAGGGGGGAAAATAATGAAGACATGCCAAAGCAAAAGAAGACAGGCAGGGAAATCGAGAATGAAATAAAAAATAGAATGCTAAAATGCTTCAATCACATGCTAAAAAATGAGCAGTAAGTACCCTGTTCACAGCTGATCATTCAAGATAAAATGTATGGGAAAAGAAAGGAGAAGAATTTGTGGGCTGAAGAACCGGGGAGACTGGTTTGAACGCAGTACATGATTTGCTTACAGCGGCTGTCTTTAAGGCCACGATCCCTATTGGCAATGTCCAAGGAGAGGAGCCAGAAGAGGAAAAACAACCCTGACGAGAACCAAGAGACCGCTCAGAGCAAATCATGCAGTTATGTCTACCAATATTTTAATTAATTTGCTTTAGGTTTTAATTGTATGTGTTTTATTCACATTTTTATTAGCTATACAGAGTGCTCTTTGGGGGAGAGACAGGATATAAATCAAATAAGTTAATAAATAATAAAACTGTGTGGTAGGTTTGTGCCCTATGCTGCAGAAGCAGTAGGCAACTCTGGCGGCAGATGCAAAGGGGGGGGCATTTTCTATTCCTCCCTCAACCTGCCACAGTCTTGATCAATCGGGTCTTTTTAATTTAAAGAGGATGAGTTGTGGGGATTCTACCACTTGTTTTAGAGAATCATATCTTTTGAAAGCACAATCTTCTCTTTTTGAAACAAAGAAATACGAGGCGATGGGGCTTCTGCACCTGCGCCACAAAACCTGAATCCTAAACATTCAGAACCAATGGGACTTCCCTGATGAATTCTAGTAAATCTTTGATCCAATTTGGCAGAGAACCTCAGTCAGAATTTCCTCCCAAACAATGACATGTATTTGTGTTTATACACTCTAATGAGGTTCGGGGTGTTTTGTTTTGTTTTTTTACATTTTCTATTGCAGTGCAGACATAAAATGGGATGCTGTGCTGTTTTATTTGGCCCACAGAGTACAGGACGCATGTTAGTCTGTACTAGCATGTCAGCCCAAAGAAAAATAAAAAATAAAGAAGACAAAAACATGGTACCTTATCCATGAAAGCTCACATGAAAATACAGCTGTTAGTCTTTAAAGTGCCATAACCTTTTTGTCATCTATATTTTTCTTCTGCTTTCAGCCTGATAGGGAAAATAGTTCCATTACAGTGGTCCCACAACGAAGTCCTTTACAGGGACTGGGTTTTGGGAAATCAACGTCCACCAAACTCACACTCGATATGACACCTATTGCTCCAACAGTCAGGAAGCAGCTAACCTACAAATACTTCTCTGTAAAAATAACCTCTTTTTCCTGTCTCTCCTTCCAAAACACATGCGTGCACGCACGCACGCACGAACGCGCGCACGCACACACACACACACACACCCCAAAACACATCCGTGCATACACGCACACACGCACACATACACACACACACGCACACACACACACAGACGCAATGTTAAAGGAATTACTGCCTAATTAGCAATGGATTAAAACTCCGGAAGCATTTAAGAAAATGGGAGAAATCTCTTAAAACAGCTGGACCAGAGTATTTTCTGCCACGCACAGGCGCCACGGTTCAATCAAAAGGGGTGGGAATAGAGGGATCAGAGGATGAATTTCACCAACTTCTAGCCTCATCCTTGCTTCTTCTTGTTCTTGTTTGTCTTGGGCCATCCTCTGAGCTCTTTCTGCTTCAGCTCTCCTTTTATCCTCCTGCTCTTTTTCCTTCGCAAGATTTTCAAAGTTAGCTCTGATGTCACTTGTCTTCATATTCGCTGTGGTATGAGAAATGGCTATTCAGCAAAGTGATTCACATGGAATGTTTCACAGAGGTTGTTCTCTTGCACAAAGCTCCACAACATACAATTCTAGAATTAGTAATCAAAGTTCAGATTACCAAGTATTTAACCTTAATTTTCTTTTTTTTTAAAGTGCCACAGTTCAAAGAGCAGCATAGGCTGTTCAGCTTCCTACTAGAAAAAGGTGCTGTGAACATTAGCACACACTGGAAGTTCAAATGCAATTCCTGATTTGGAATTAGGAGCAGCTGCAGTGATGTGGCTCAGCAGATACATTCATTTTGAATTATGCCTCTCTCCCATCAAAGACCACAGCCACAAAGCAATTACACCAGATGGTTTGCCTGATCTCTGTTTCACCATTTGAAATATAAATGCTAAATATATCTATGGGTTTTCAGCTCTTCTATGCTAATATGACAAGAATCTGGAGATTCCTAAGGTTCCATGGTAAGCTGAAACATGCAACAAGAAACACACTAAGAAAATATATTTTCTTAGTAAATGTCTAGAGGGACAGGGTAAAAATCAAATACAGTGGTGCCCCGCATAGCGACGATAATCCATTCTGAAAAAATCATCGCTATCCGGATTTGTCACTATGCGGGACTAAAAAGCCCATAGGAACGCATTAAAACACCTTTAATGTGTTCCTATGGGGGAAAAACTCACTGCTATGTGGAAATCCTCCATTTTCGCCACCCGGTATGCAAGAAAACCACGCGAAAATGCCGCGTGCTGCCATTTTTTTCCGGCGGCCATTTTGGAACCGCCGAAACACCTTTAATGCGTTCCTATGGGGGAAAAACTCACCGCTATGCGGAAATCCTCCATACGGCCGCCATTTTCGCCGCCCGGTATGCGAGGAAACCATGCGAAAACGCGCGTGCTGCCTTTTTTTCCCGGTGGCCATTTTGGAACCGCCGATCAGCTGTTTTTAAAACATCACAATGCGAAGATCTGTAAGCGAAATGCTTACTGATCATCGCAATGCGATTTTTAGCCATTGAGAACATTGTTATGTGATCGCTTTTGCGATCGCAAAAAATGCGTCGCTATACGGATTCGTCATTAAACGGGGCACTCGCCAAGCGGGGCACCACTGTCAGTAAGTAAGTAAGTAAGTAAGCAAGCAAGTAAGTAAATAAATAAAAAAATAAAATAAAATAAAATAAAATATATTTTCTGTTATTTCAAAATCAAGTCTTACCAGCTTCCACTGGCTTGGTCTTCTGGTATGTTGAAGACAACTTCTCTATATCTTCAAAACTTGATGCATTCTATCAATAAGAGGCAAACGAGAGCAAGTTCACACAAAAGCCACAATTACATTTGTTAGTCCCAGCCACAGTAGACCCATGGAATAAATGGAGCTTATATCAACACTCAGATAAATCCCATGGATTTCATGTAGTTTAACAGGGACTAACAATTAGATTTAACTCACAGTATGTGATTCTTTACTTCTACATCACATTAAGACATTGGAAACATTTTCAGAAAGTTTTATTCAAATTAATCGAATGTATGTATCATTAAAAGACAAAAATATGTATCATTAAAAGGCACAATTCACTGAGCTCTTGCTTTTTCAGAACTTCTTCAATATACAAGTTAGAGGCTATCAAAAGTGACAAAACACTAACACCCACAGATGTGTTTTATGCTAGGTAACAGGAAAATGAAAATGCCCTCTGATAACGAATGACAGCTGGAATACGGAGGTTTTTAACTAATAATAGTCATATGTAACAACTAAAGTCTAATGGCAATTTCCCACTGAGCAAAGAAATCATGTTGTTCATTCATTAACTTTATTATGGTCATAGACCAGAAATCATGCTGTTGCATACTAAAAACAAGATAATGTAAAAGTGAGCAACTCCTGCCTCCAATGGCCAGCTGAGCAGATTTAATTCTGTAAAAGGCTATGAGGCAGCAAGAGGAACAGCTGTCTTTGTCACACACATTTGAGGTCACAATAAATTGGAAACAGTTTACAGTGGTGCCTCGCTTTACGACTGCCCCGCATTATGACGAAACCGCATTACAACAATAAACGATGGTCTAAATGGGGTTTTTGATGATCGGTTCCCTGCTTCGGGAACCGATTCTTCACAAAACGACATTTTTTAAAACAGCTGATCAGCAGTTTCAAAATGGCCACCGGGTAAACAAAATGGCTCCCTGCTATTTTCTGGGATGGATTCCTCGCAAGACAGGCAGTGAAAATGGCTGCCCTATGGAGGATCTTCACTGGACGGTGAGTTTTGACCCCATTGGAATGCATTGAAGGCGTTTCAATGCGTTTCAATGGGGTTTTTTTTCGTATTACGATGTTTTCACTTAACGGCGATTTTCCTGGAACGGATTATCGTTGTTAAGCGAGGCACCACTGTATTGAAGTTTATGGATAATGGGACACAAAGGCTGGAATCCTGTTGCCGCAGCTCCATTCATGTCAGGCTGATGACACCATCAGTCACAGCCTTTTATCTTTGATTCAAAATTTCCTATTCCTCCTGCCTCAGGCTCCCTAGGGATTCCTTTTGACCTAAGGGAACATTTAAATGCTTCCATCACCCATCTTGATGCTTCTAAAGGCAACCCCTTGTCAAAACAGATAACTAGATAGCTTTGGAACTGGGAGGGGAGGTGTAGGAAAATTTTAATTAAAGACAGAAGGCTATGAACCCGGACTAGACGGAGTTCCTGAGGGTGGGGGGCCCCACAGCAGTGGTTTGGAAAACTCTCCCACTTTTAGAGAGGTGACTCTCACCACAAAGACTGAGGTTTGCTTCCTGGGGGTCCATCTAGATCTGGCACTTACCATGGAAACACAGATAGCGTCAGTGGTCTGCACTACCTACTTCCCACGAATCAAGAATGTTTCGGGACAGCCCCTCAATGAATCCTGTCAGTTTTAAGGCAGAGTTGTCGTCTTTGCAATATGGACAGTTACCTGATATTAGTTGTTTTGAACCTGTAGAAGCTGTTATAGATTCACCTAGTGCTAAATTGAATAAATCTGCTGAAGTTCAAAATGAGACTCAGTTGTTAACTTCCCGCCAAAAAGGAGGAACTGCTTCAGATCTTTAATGAACCCAATCACAAAGGTGTTTGGTTTTGAAAGGTGTTTGGTTTTAAAAGGTGTTTTAGACTCCAAACTCTCTCACCCCCATTGTCTCTCTCTCTCTCTCTTCTCTCTTTTTGTGCTTAACAGCACAAACTTTTGTCTGAGGGGTCTGTGTGCCCCAGTGATGACCTTCTTTCTTTCCTCTTTTCCCCATTGTTCCCTCCCTCCCTCCTTTTCTGCCCTTTTTTAAACCTAAGTCATCTTAGTTCATATGGGAATGAATGCTTCGACTTGCAACTGGCGCCTCAAGATACAAGCAAAATCCTAAACTGATTGATCACATTTCAATACATTTCTATGAGATACTGTGCTTCAATTTACGACCATTTCAAGTTACAACCATCTTCTGAACTGGATTAAGTTTGTAAGTCGAGGTGCCACTGTAATGCACTCTACATGGGGCTGCCTTTGAGACTGATGTGGAAATTACAAATGGTGCAGAATGCGGTGGCCAGACTTCTCACTGTGGTGAGAAAACATCAACATATCTCCCCCACTCTGGCTGCCCTGCACTGGCTGCCTGTTTCATTCCGCACTGATTTCAAAGTATTAACGATGACATATAAAGACATCACTATCTGGCGGAACACCTTCTCCCACCTAGACCTACTCATATCACTCATTCTAGTCAGAATGGGCGGCTAAGAGGCCTAACACTGAGGGAAACCTGGAGAGAAAGAACAAGAAATCGGGCCTTCTTGGCAGTGGCCCCTCGTCTCTGGGACAATCTGTCCCTAGAAATTTGCCTGGCTCCCTCGCTGGGTGTTTTTAACAGCAAACTCAAGACTGGGCTCTTTAGACAGGCCTTCTCTCCTGTCATTATTTAATTTATTTTGCCATCTTGTATTATGTTGTTGTTATCTTATATGGCTACTGTTTTTATGAAACTGTTTTATGACTTTGTTGTTAGCTTCCCAGAGTGGACTTTGGTCTAGATTGGTGGGATATAAATAAAATAAAATAAAATAAATATGTTATCATCCTTTTTATGTGCAGAGCTGTACAATAATAAGCCTTTAGATAAATTTGCCCAGAAAAGAAAAATGACAAAAGGACCATCACATAGAAATGACTTCTATGAGATATACTACCCTTTCATACATTTTACAGCTTCTTCAGAGCAGATAGAAAGCCAATATCATTTTTAAAAATACATTTTATAGAACAATATTAAAATAAATGTATTAGGAAGAACCCAGTTTAAAAATATAATGTGATTGTTTTTATTTCGTTTGTTATAATATATTTCTTGTATTTTATACATAGTTAATGAAAAACTGTACAGTTTTTTAAAAAAAGAATATTCAATACAATGGCTCATAGATTCTTGAACATCACTGTAGTTTAGAGCCAAGACCTCCCAAAGCTTCTGAGCATACTTGTTTTTTGTTTTGCATTAAAGAAACCCTGTGTGGCCATGTCAAAAAAATTGGAAAATTGGGGGATGATGGAGTCATCTGCCTCTTGAAATACAAGCCTGTTAACCTTGTGCCTGGGATGAACAAGCCAGGAAATGGGGAGAAACTGCCCATTAATTGGAAAAGTTTTGCAATCTGTGTCATCTCCATGAGAAGGAATTGTCAAGGTCATAAGTCATTCCTGGCACAAGCTAATTAACAGAACTGATTTCAGTTGAAGAGAAGAGGGGGAGAGGGAACAAAGTTACTTTGAAGAAGTTAATCTCTTTCTAGTAAGGTTTGGATGGTTTGGTACCTGACTGGTATACGTATTCTTTCAAATGGTTTAGAAAGTAGAATTGTAGGTATAGAAATGGTTTGTTTAGTTTAGCCTAGTCTTCTTCTTAGGAAAACGCTATGCTTACCTGCTGCTTTGCTACCTGATTTGTACTCTGCATATACTCTTTAACTAAGCTGAAGTCTTGCTTGGATATGGATATTAACCTAGTCAGCTTTCTTATTTTCTTGGGCATTTGGGACATTTCTGGAATAGCCTTGCCTTAAGGTCTTTTGAATGCTTATTTGCTCACAACTTTTTTGACTGCTTTGGGAACTTTTGAAGCTGTCTTTTGAAACTGGAATTTTATGCCTTTTTTTGGAAGGGGAAGGAAAGCTTCAATAAAATAATCAAATATTTTACCACAGTTTGGTTGATTTGGGGGAAAAGAGGGTAGTTGGTTCTAAAGAAAGGCCTTGTCGTGACCACCCAATGGATTCCTTAACTTTTGTGGATATTTTGGCATTCCTACATGGCAGGCTTGGTATACAGGCTTAAATGCTTAACCTTCTGAATGTTTGATAATTCTCTGGAACACTGAATAATTGGAATGACTCAAGGCAGTGGAAGGGGTACCAGGCAGGAAGATTCCCCCAGGCATCAGCACATCCAGCCCTCATGGAATTCACCCACACTAGGAAAGTCTTGGCAGTATGGCTGATTGGTTAGAGAGGGTCTCTGACCCAGCCATAATTCTGACAAACCACAAAATGTGTAGTAACAAAATGCTGGGTGTCCTCCCTCCAATTCTGCTCAAAATGCAGGCATACATATTTGTCTGTAGGGTCTTCTTTCTCTTTTTTTATCTCTCTCTCTACATGTTATCTATGTTTTGTGGCATTCCTAGCAAGGTTCTATTGGCCAAGTTATAACCGAAGTCAAGCTCAGTAGGCCAGGAGCAACACTGCCCAAGGCAGGGAGCAAACCAGATCTACTGTGGAGTGGAGACTCAAGCATTCCTAAGTTTCTGTCTGCAAGGTTACCAGGCAACAATAGGAAAGGCTCTCTCTCTGTTCCTCTCTCTCTCTCTCTCTCTCTCTTTTTCAAGCAGTTATAGCAGGTAATTTATAGCTTGTTGTTTTCCCACCAGCAGTAGGAACAAAAATGGGACATTCTGCAGGCAGGACACAGCAAATTTGGATCGGCTAGGCCCAAAGCCACTCTATAGAGAGGCCTTGATTGCAGCCCTCAGTTGTGGAGATAACTAGTTTACTGCCCAACAGTGCTTCCCACACGGTGTGTGCACGATTAAAAATGGAAAGAAGGGGGTGGGGTGGGGGAACCACCAATCACCTGCTTTCCTGTCCACAACCTGCTTCAACATGCTCCGATCTCTTTTATTTATTCTTTTTAAAACTTTCACAAGCCACACATCATTCTGAATTTAGTGTGCCACAAACAGCTTAAAATTTTGCCTAATTAATTTCCACTGTCAGCTAAAAGATGTAAAAATGTAAAAAAACAAGCTCCAGAGGGAACTGTGCCCTTTCAGAGCAGAACAATCTCTAATTTGGGGACCCCATTTCAAACCCGGAACCATGCTGCTACTTATGGCCATACCTTATCCATCCGATCTTTCTGCACGCCGTATTTCCCGCCAAATCCTTTAGAGTAGTCTGAAAACAGGAGAAAAAAACTTATTGAAGGCGGTTGTCTCTATCCTCCATTGAGATGTTATCAAATGCAGAGGAGTGCTACACGGAGCAGCATGCACAGAAATCCCCAGGATGACTGCAGCCAAGCAAAAAAAAAAAAAAAAGATTAAATGAGGAGGTGCAAAAAAGATATATACTTGAAGACTTCTGCAGAAGCATCAGCATGTGTGAAAGATACAGCAGGCCAGCTTCATGCTTCCCATTCCTCGGCTGAAATGGTGAAATGACACTGGGTGATTGCTGGCAGGAACCAAGCAAAGAGAAACATTCACCCTCAAGCCAGGCCCGATCCCACCATTTTGGCTACACACCACTTCTACAGCACAGCCTTCAATTACTCTACCATGTTGCTAGAGAGGCTTTGTGAACCACAATATTCTGGATTCTGAGAGATGCCGAAATTTCAAGGCACCACAGGCCATTTCTTGAGTCATATTTTAAGGGCCGTGAAAACAGAAATATTGGTCATATTGCCACTGAGATTTCAGAACATCAAAGGCCTGTTAGCACAGTACAGTTAAATGGAGGACACACAAGTTTCTACAAGACAAACACACTAGAAAAATTGGAGAAGTGAAAAACTCTAAGACATCAGTCCTAACATCTGTTTTTCTTTGCTCTTATGGTCACCTTGCCTTATTTTTAAGAAGAACAAACTATCTAGGTTGCCTTGTGGTACAGTGGTTAAATTGCAGTACTACAGTCAAGACTCTGCTCACAGCCTGCATTTGATCCCAGCAGATTCAGGTACCTGGCTCAAGGTTGACCCAGCCTTCCAAGGTCAGTAAATTGAGTACCCAGCATGTTTCGGGTGGTCAATGTGTTGCCTGCATAATTATATTGTAAACTGTCCAGAGGGTGCTTTAAGTACTATGGGGCTGTCTGTAAGCAGCACACATGGTTTTTTGGGGGGTGGGGTGGGGACCAGACTGATCTTTCCAAAGAGGCAAAGCTAGGCAAGGTCTGTTATATTCTGCTGCTCAGCATGTGCTCTTAATGGTTTTTTTTCAACACTGCATCTGAAGAAAGTGATTGTAAACATTTTCATTTTTAAGTTGTAAATTACTTCATCTTCAGTAACGTTGGCTTCTTGTTTTAGCTGCAGAAACCTTAGTTAAAACTATGACAGCCACAATCTGCATCCCCCCCATGAGGACTTACTGGTCAAGCTATAACTAGTCCAGATCAATTGTGGAGTGGAGGGTCAAGCAAACTTTTCTTACTTTACTGACCTGAGGTCCACTTCCTAGAAAGGTTGGTTGCCACTAGCTTAAATTTCTCAGGGCCCTATTAAATCTTACATCGATGCATTTACACAGGTTGATTCAATGAGAAAAATGTTGGCCAAGGATGGCCTGTGGCACTGCAGGCCTCTCCATGTGAGCAACGTAAGTCTGTGTTAGAAGTGGCTGCCCTGAGTAAGAGTGACAGCTGGAAACTCTGCCTTGTTGCGATTCATGCTTCGCTAGTTTCTCCTTGTAGTCAAACCCCACAGCTGATGGGTCCTGCCTCTCTGTTTGAACACCGAATTTCCCTCCGAAACCACTCTTATAGTCTGAGAAATCCAAGAAAGAGAACCAAGAGGAGAAAAGGAGGGAGGGAAACGAGAAACACATTTAGACACAACATACATGAGTCAAAAGACAAACTCTTTAAGAGCACCTCTGAAGCTTGCAAGGTAGGGGAAAAGTTTAAACACTTCAGTTGTTTTATATATGCGTATTCCTAGACTGTTTTGATTAGGAACCAAACCACATACTGAGAAATATCCTACAACACAGACTTTTCTAGACAGTGTCACTTTACACAAGGGCTAGAAGAAACCATAACTGTGTTCTGCTACATACATGAATCCAGCACAGTACGAAAAGACTGCGTTAAGGTTTTCTCTGACACACTAGTTTTCCAAAAGCTCAGAGGTATTTTTTGACATCAAAAAGATTTTAATTTCTTTCCACACCACTGTAGTCTGTAATTGTATAGTCAGACCCTTTTATTACTCTGAATCTTATAGTCCGATTATGAAACTATGAATGACATTTTCACAATAAGCTCCAAACAACATATAATGTTGCCAATCGAGTGGAAAATGTTATGGATGCACTCACATTTAGTCAATGAACAGAATATTGCAATGAACAGCAAATGTATCAGAACAAGTCAACAGTTATTATTTTCACTAAGAACATCTTAGGAAGAGGAATATATCTTAGGTTCCTAAGCATGGCTCAGTGAAGCCAAATGTGGTGCCTCCAGTCAGACAAAAGACTGCAATAATGAATTCACTACAACCACATCAAGTCATCAGTTGGTGGTAACAGGGCAGAGAAAACCCACAGAAGCTGTCTGTAGCCAGCTAGCCAATAGGCTACTATTCGGAGATGGAAAATATTTATTTCCGTGGCAGCTTTAACTCTCAGACTCTCTCAGCCAGCACAGTCACTAGTCTAGAAAACAAAGGTCTGCCATCATATCTAAGGTATTTCCTTATTGCTTCTCAAGATAGAGCCTGGAAAAGCTATTCAGGGAGCGGCTGGGGACAAGGGATTGTGGTGGGGGGTTCAATATTCGACACACTTAACAGTTCTTTTAAAAATTAGCCAGACAGACCAGTATTGATATAGTTACACAATTCTCCTTGTGTGAACATTATTGCATGAACACAACTCTGAGCACCAGTCATTAGATATGACTAAATCATTCTGTTGTTTCTTGTTTTGCAAGACCCTAAGCAAACAGTGGCTGATAGCTGGTTGCTTTGCACAGTAAGTCACAACTAGAGTAGGCCTACTGAATCAGTGGGGATTTGGTGAGTCAACTCCTCCATAAGTTCCACTGACTGAAATGGGCCTACTCTAGTTGAGACTAGAGGAGTCACATGTCAATTAATGGAATGTAAGGAGTTGTTGACTCACTGATTCTATCGGCCTCCCTTAATGTGATTTACTACTCTAGACAATAGGATACTAGCCAGTATGATTTTGACTAAACCACTGAAAAGGAAAACTACAAATCACTGACATTAAATACAGCATTTTTCATTGCAATTACTTCTATCCCTCAGCATGTATAATCAGTATGAGTTATGATTTTAAAAAAAAAATCAATATACCTTTCTGAGATTCATGTAGTTGTACTTTCTCCTGATGATCCCAACCAAGAGCACATTTGTCTTGTCTGTCCGTCTGTACACCAAACTTTCCACCAAAACCTTTTGTATAATCTACACATAGAAAAGTTTACAAAGTGTTACTAGAACCTCCTTCCTTCTTGAAAGCTAGCAGGTACTAGATACAAAGGATGCTTTGTTTCATTTACTTATAAATGTGGGAAGACCAGCCAGATGTAGGAGAGGGACTCAGAAGGAGAGTATGGAGTGCACACCTTTCTACACTGCCATACCAGCTCTCCTCAAGTCACTGAATTAGACTCTGTTGTCATTAGTTGCCTTGGGCATTTGGATGGGATTAAGTGTACACATGAATGAAGAAAATAGAATCTGGTCAGAATGGGAGAAAGACATTTTGAAATATATTATGGGCAGAGGCTGAAAAAAGAAAGGAACTTTGAAACAGATTTTTCAAGATTCGCTTGTACTTCTAAATGCTGACGGCCTCATCTTATGCAAGAATATTCATCATGCTAATAAGTTAAGCTTAAAGAAGATCACTCACATGCAATTTCATGGAATAAAATTAAAATAAAAACCTTTCTGTGATTCATGTTTTTCAGTTTTGCCTTGGTACTCAAAGCCAACAGCACTTTTGTCCACTTTCTCCTTGTCCACACCATATTTACCACCAAAACCTTTAGAATAATCTGGAGATAGAAGCAAAAAGAAATCATTCATAACAGTACATACTAAGATACTAGACTGTTTCTTGTCACAGCTATTTGACTAGACACTGAGGTTCACCACTTGACCGAAAACTCAAGTACAGGCATGTATGTGTAAAAGTACTACCATGGGTGAGCTGCAACAGAGGGAACTTTTAACATCAACATCTTCAGGGGAAGTAATCAAACACTCACTTACGAGTAAGTATATGCACCAACAGATGAGACTCTTGGAATTATCATTAAGCAGCTAGGAGGAAGCCACAATGATCCATTTGCTCTTTACCCTCCATTTATGTCTAAATCCAACAGCTAGTCCCAACCTGACTAATCAAATCAGTGGGGTTTTACCAAGTGTTGACCTACCATCCAGCAACTGATTCAAGTTGGGACTAGCCATTGGGTTTCAGGCCCTGGAGTATCTATTCCCACTGCCCACTTCAACCACAATATACTGCACTCAAAAGGAGGGGCCATCAATGATTGCCTACTAGTTAATAAAAATAATCAGATGCCATCAAGTCAATTCTGGTTTATGGTGACCATTCTCAGGGTTTTCCAGCTAGAGAGGTCTCAGAAGTGGTTTGCTATTCCCTTTTTCTAGTATTGTTGTAGGACTGTGAAGCTTGCCCAAGGCGCTACTTGCAGGAGGCACAGTGGGGAATTGAACTCCGAACCTTTGACACTGCAGCCAGATAACTAAACCATTGAGCTATCTAGCTTCTCTTTAAACATGGCTAAATAATGGGTTGTGTTACATTTGTACGGGAAGACAAAGTGATAGGCAGACAATCAGTCCTACACCCTAGCCAAGATGTATAAATTCAAAGAGAATATGGATATAGGACACAAGTAAACAAATTGTTCTGAAATACACAAAAAGCACATGCTCTCATAATGTGGCGATTACACGCTCCATCTACACAGCACAAACAAACAAACAAACCAGTAACAGTACCAGAAACAACAAACAAAACTAAAAAAAAGTGGAGCTGTAGATTTCAGAGCACAGACCACATGATATAGGCACAATATCACTTAGAGGGCTTGACAGGAGGAATAAAATAACAGAATAGTGAGCTAGATAGTAAGTTACTTATAAAATAATTAACATTTATCATTAAATAAATAATAATGGTAGGTGGGGAGACTGTGGTACAGCCTAGAAACTGCCCTTGATCATGAACTACATTGTCCAAGAAAACCCACCAAAACAGTGAACCCTTGAAGAAGTAGTGCCAAGCTTGACTTGATGTGCTTGACCTAGCTTTATCCTATGGAATAATCATATGGTAAGGGTAAAGGTTCCCCCTTGACAATTTGTCCAGTCGTGTCCGACTCTAGGGAGCAGTGCTCATCTCCGTTTCCAACCCATAGAGCTAGCGTTTGTCCGAAAACAATCTTCTGTGGTCACGTGGCCAGCGCGACTAGACATGGAACGCTGTTACCTTCCCACTGTGGTGGTACCTATTTATTTACTTGCATTTCTGCATGCTTTCGAACCGCTAGGTTGGCGGGAGCTGGGACAGGCGACAGGGGCTCACTCCATTGCGTGGATTCGATCTTACGACTGCAGGTCTTCTGACCTTGCAGCACAGAGGCTTCTGTGGTTTAACCCGCAGTGCCACCACGTCTCTTGGAATAATCATATAGCTTTGCATAAATGTTTGGTGAGTTGAATCAGGAATAAGACTGGGACACATACATGAATGGTATCTGGACAGAATCCTATAAGGACTGTGTTTTGAATTAATCTTCTAGGGAATATAACCCGAGATACTGGCCTGATACACAAGCTTTCCAATGCCCAGAAGAAGGAAAAAGACAGGAAAGACCATTCCTATTACATGGTCAAAAGAAAGTTCTCAGTGTTGTGAAAGATCTACTAAGACGCACAGAGAACTCTAGAACAGGGACCTCCTTCCCCAGTAACAGATACATATACGGAATTTGCAACCAACAGATATGAGTATGACTTAAGATCTAGAAATGTCTATGTGGAAGACCCTACTACAATCCAGAACAGAGAGCTGTGTATTAAGATCCTCAACTTTGGATTCCTTCCCTGCAGTTAATATACATGTTAACTTATAACAAAGTCTTACTGTATATCCATGAAGCTTCTCAATCAGGTGAGGTTATCTGGAAGTTGAGCCATGGCAACTGGATTTCTTTCTTCTTAGGTTGAAATGTTTCACTATTCATCCAATGTTTCACTACGAGTATTGAAACATTTCCTGGTCTGAACAGGATTGTTAGAAGGACAAAGATCTGGGGGTGAGGGATACTCCCACTTCTGCAGTCCTTCTCCACCCATTGTCATGGGTCATTAACAGTGGTCTTTCTGGTGTGTGTGGTCCTAATCTTTCTGGGGATGGATGAAAGGGCAGAATGATAAATAGGAGACAGATTGTATCTAAGGCCTCCACCCCTGTTGAGTGATGGATTTTCTATATGCACATGTAGAACTTCCCTCCATCCACAGAAAGATTAGGATCACACACACCAGAAAGACCACTGTTAATGACCCAGGACCATGGGTGGAGAAGGACTGCAGCGATGGAATTTTCACTCACCCCCCCTTCCTTTGTCCATCTAATATCTGTCTATTCAGATCAGAAGGAAGTGAAACCAACCTGGAGGATATATGAGGGTCTCCTACCAATTCTACTCAGGCTGAAGAAGCTACTTGGATGAGTATTGAAACATTTCAACCTAACAAGAAAGAAGTCCAGTTGTCATAACTCAACCTTCAGGTATGTCTTACTGTGTTCAGCGATGTTAATTCCTAAGTGTGTGTATGAGAGACTGCAGTTCTAGCTTTTAGGCATCATATATTGAATACTGACCCAAATGGTAGAGATGTGGGATCTGAAATATTCTGGAAGCTAAAGAAAGGAATGATGATGTATTTGAGTCTTATGTACGTTCAATCTGTGAATGCTCTCACATGAAATTCCTATTTATTATTAGTGGAAATTATTTTCACTATAGTATCCACAATAATGTTAATAAGTGCTTTTTCAAAGAAAACACTAAAAGAAGGCAACATCCCTTGAACAGATAGACTCAAGGTGACCGATGGGACAGGGGAGTCAACCTGGCAGGGTTATTCTTACATCATGAATGTGAAATTCATGATGTAACAGTTAAAAGCCAACTGACTAGTGAATGCTTATGTTACACACACCTGCACATACTTGGACAATAGTAAACAAATCTTGGCTCATTATCACCAAAAAGTAATAACCCTCTTACATGTTCCAGTAACATCACAGAGATATTACGTTGCTACTAAGGACATATTTTCAGAGGCCATGCCATAAACTTTCTTTCAACTTCCTTCAAAAATAAATTTAGTTGATTTTTAAAATTAGTCTCATGTGCGTGCGCGTGCATGTGTGTGTATCTACTGTGTGTATCTACTGTAATCTATTCTACTTTCTTCTTCTGCTGCTGCTGCTGCTTTCATTTTTATGTAATAGAGCAGGACAGGGCAACTGTGGCTCTCCAAGTATTTTTGGCCTATTAAGTCCTATCAGCCTTAGCCAGGATAGCCAATCCTAGGGTGTATGGGATTCCAGTCCAAAACATGGAGGACCACAATTGTTCACCCCGGATACAGAGGAATGGTTTAATTTCTAAATGTTTGCCATAAAATGGCTAGAGCTTGTTAAAGAAATAGTGGGATAAAATTAAAAACAAATAAAGGACAAAAACCACCATTCGTCTTACATGGAATAGACGTATTGAAATTAATGGGGCTTAGTTTAGTTTTGCCTGGTAAGTCCTATTCATTTCA